CTAGAGAAGGGGTTAGCAAAGTACAGCCAATGGAATAAATCTATCCAGCCTGCCACATATGTGTACATCCTGTGAGATAAGGATGGAACTTACATTTTAAAAATTGTTGAAAAAATAAGAATAATATTTTGAAAGGTGTGAAAATTATATGACATTCAAATTTCAGTGTCTACAAATAATGTCTTATTGGGACAAACCCATGCTGTTTCATTTACATGTTATCTCTGACTGCTTTTGTGCTACAACAGCAGAGTTGAATAATTGTGACAGAGACCTTATGGCTTACAAAACTTAAAATATTTATTATCTGTCCTCTATAGAAATGTTTACTCACATGTGCCCTAGAGGAAACTAAAATACTAGAAATAGATTAGCAATTTTATTAATAAGTACTTGAGGTATTCCTGAAAACCAGAACAAGAAGATATGTTAATTTTTGGATCAGAAACACAATTCTTCCCTACTTCCATTTCCCAAATTCTTTCTTCTATGGTACCATCAAGATCTCTAACAGGATAGAGTGCTATAATAGGACAGCAGATTCCTCAATGTGTTATAAGAATCTGATACTTCCTGCTACCTTAATGACTCACTGTGACTCAAGTTACTGTCATCCCCCTAATTGATCTTACTGCTTTCACCCTTGTCTGCCAGTCGACTTCCCAGTATAGTAGCTACAGGTATCCTTTTAAAGTTTCAGTCAGATCGGATCACTCTGGTTAAGATCCACCAATGATTCCTCATCTTGTTTAAGCCAAAGTCATTACAGTGCCTTTCCAAGGAAGGCCTTAGAACATCTGTCCGCTCATAGCTCTCTGATCGCTTCTCTTTATCTCTTTACACTCCAGCTGCATGTGATTTCTTGTTTTTCTTCAAAGAGTTCAGAAATGTTTCTATCACAGAGTGGTTTGCTCATTGTCCTCTCTGCCTGAGATACTGCCTTTTAGATAGCTACCTGGCTAATTCTCTCACCTCTTTCATGTTCTATTTTTTAGTTCTATCAGTTGCTGAGAATGGGGTTTTGAATTCCCAGCTGTAATTGTGAGTTTTATTGTTTCTCTTCTCATTCCTATTAGTTTTCTTTCCCATATTTTTTAAAGTTCTGTTTGTTGCATACATATTTGGAATTTCTATGTCTTCTTGGTGCTTTGATTTTTTTCTTATCTTACTGTCATGTCCCTCTTTGTTTCTGGTAAGTTTTGCTTTGAGGTCTACTTTTTGTGATATTAATTTACTCACGCTTGCTTTTAAAAAATTGATACTTTCATAGTATAGATTTTATATTCTTTTACTTTTTTATAATTTCATAGTTGGATCATTAAAAATATACTATGCTAAATTTTTAGTAAAGCATTTTTAAAGCAGTTTTAAGTTCACAGCAATTTTAAGAAGAAAGTATGATTTCCCATATTCCTTCTACTGCTACAGATGCACAACCTTCTGCATTATCAATATCCCCCACCAGAGTGGTACATTTGTTAAACTGACAAACCTAGATTGACATTATCATACTACCAAAGTCTGTAGTTTACATTTTGATTCACTTTTTTATCTTTGTCTGATTTATTTCACTTAGCATAATATCCTCTAGATCCATCCATGTTACAAATGGAAATATTTCATTTTTATGGCTGAGTAGGATTGCAGCCATGAAATTAAAAGATGCTTATTCCTTGAAAGGAAAGTTATGGCCAACCTAGACAGCATATTAAAAAGCAGAGACATTACTTTGCCTACAAAGGTCTGTCTAGTCAAGGCTATGGTTTTTCCAGTAGTCATGTATGGATGTAAGAGTTGGACTATAAAGAAAGCTGAGCGCCGAATTGATGCTTTTGAACTGTGATGTTGGAGAAGACTCATGAGAGTCCTTTGGACTGCAAGGAGGTCCAACCAGTCCGTCCTAAAGGAGATCAGTCCTTGGTGTTCACTGGAGGGACTGATGTTGAAGCTGAAACTCCAATACTTTAGCCACCTGATGCGAAGAACTGACTCATTTGAAAAGACCCTGGTGCTGGGAAAGATTGAAGGCAGGAGGAGAAGGGGACAACAGAGGATGAGATGGTTGGATGGCATCACCGACTCAATGGACATGAGTTTGAGTAAACTCCGGGAGTTGGTGATGGACAGGGAGGCCTGGTGTGCTGCAGTCCATGGGGTCGCAAAGAGTCGGACATGACTGAGCAAATGAACTGAACTGAATATTCCATTATATATATATATGTGTATATATATCTTTAAAAAATAATTTAATTGGAGGCTAATTACATTACAGTATTGTAGTGGTTTTTGCCATAAATTGACGTGAATCAGCCATGGGTGTACATGTGTCTCCCATCATGAACCCACCTCCCACTTCCCTCCCCATCCCATCCCTCAGGATTGTCCCAATGCACTGGCTCTGAGTGTCCTGTTTCATGCATATGATTCACTTTTAGTGTGATATATTCTATGGGTTTGGGGAAATGTTTAGTGACATATATAGCATTATATTATCATACACAGTATTTCATTGCACTCAAAATTATTGTGGTCTACCTATTCATGTTTCCTTACCCCACTCCACACCTCACCCCTGGCAATGACTGAAATTTTTACTGTCTCCATAATTTTGTCTTTCAAGAATGTCATATAGTTGGGATCATACAGTATATTTCCCTTGTGGCTCAGACGGTAAAAGCATCTGCCTACAATGTGGGAGACCCGGGTTCGATCCCTGGGTTGGGAAGATCCCCTGAAGAAGGAAATGGCAACCCAGTCCAGTATTCCTGCCTGGAAAATCCCATGGACAGAGGAGCCTGGCAGGTTATACAGTCAATGGGGTTGCAAAGAGTAGGACACAACTGAGCGACTTCACTTCACTATACAGTATATAGCTTTTTCAGATTGGCTTCTTTTATTCAGTAATATTCATTTAAGTTTCCTCTCTGTCTTTTCATGATTTTATAGCTCATTTATTTTTAGTGTTGAATGATATTCCATTGCCTGGAAGTACCACAGTCTGAAGAACATCTTGTTTGCTTCCAAGTTTTGACAATTACAGATGAAGTTGCTATGAACATCTGTGTGCAGGTTTTAGTGTAGACATATGTTTTGAATCCCTTGAGTATATACTAAGGAGCATGATTGCCAAATTGTATGTTAAGAGTATGTTTATACTTATAAGAAACTGCCAAATTGTCTTCCAAGATGGCTATACCATTTTGCATTTCCATCAGCACAGTTGCTTCATATACCTGTCAGCATTTGATATTGTCAGTATTCTGATTTTTGACCATCCTAAATAGATATGCAGTGGTATCTAACTTTCAATTCACATTCGTTGGTGACATATGGTGTTGAACATCTTTTTTGATGTTTATCTGCCATCCATATATCTTCTTTGGTGAGGTATCTGTTAAGGTCTTCAGCTCATTTTTTTTTTTTCAGCTCATTTTTAAACTGGTTTCTTATTATTGAATTTTAAGAGTTCTTTGTATGTTTTGGGTTACAGTGTCTTTGCAAATACTTTTTGTCAGTCCATGGCATATCTTCTAATTCTCTTGATAGTGCCTTTGCAGAGGAGAAAACTTTAAAGAAGTCATCTTATCAATTATTTCTCTTATAAATTCTGCTCTTAGCTTTGTATCTAGAAAGTTATTGGCATTCCCAACATCACCTAGATTTACTCCTATGCTATCTCTAAGGAGTGTTAAAGTTTTGGGTTTTATATTTAGGGATGTGATCCATTTTGAGTTAAGTAAGATCTGGGTCAAGGTTCATTTTTTGCAAGTGCATGTGCAGGTGTTGCAACACCATTTGTTGAAGTTTATCTTTGCATCAGCATATTGTCTTTGCTCGCTTGTCAAAGATTAGTTGACTCTATATATGCAAGTAAGGCTATTTCTGGGCCGTCTGTTCTGTTCTACTGATCTATTTATTTGTTTTTTTTCACCAATACCACACTGTCTGGATTACTGTAGCTTTATATATAAATCTTGAAGTTGGGTAGTGTTGATCCTCCAATTTTGTTCTTCTCTTTCAATATATTATATTGGCTATTCTGTGTCTTTTGCCACTTCATATACTCTTTAGAATCAGTTTTTCAGCATTTACAAAATATCTTCCTAGGATTTTGATTGAAATTGCATTGAATCTATAGATTACTTTGAGAAGAACTGACATCTTGGTTATATTGGATTGTTCTAGATATGAACATGGACTATCTTTCCATTTATTTAGTTATTTGATTTAATTCATCAGAATTGTGTAATTTTTGTTTTTCAGTTGATCCATTCAGACCAACTCTTTTTGGAAAATGGAGACGTATTCATTTTTTAAATTTGCCTGAGTATGACATAAGTTCCTCTTCTGTTCTTTCAAGGGGGAGCCTCAGAAAAGACTTCTACAGTAGTGCTCCTAACATTTACTCTCTGAGAAGCAGTGGTGGTTCAGGTTTAGAGATGAAGGAAGGGACAAAGATCAACTCTTCTTTCTATATTCAACTTATTTTAATTAGTTTTTCTTTGTTTACATTGTGCATCTGTCCTTCCTTATACTCTCAACTTACTCATATTTTCTAATTTTATTTTTCCACCTTTCATCTTTTGGAATTTTGTTTTGTGACCCTATATTTCAGATTAAAATATAAAATTGTTATTATGTTATATCCATGGTCTTTGTGGTGATCTGACTTCAGCATATTTTGCCAGCATTGTTTCCCTTTGTTTCTATTCTATAACTTAATTCTCTAACCAAAGGAACAATTTTTTTCTTTATCCTTGACATATGGTTTCCTGTTTCTATAGGCCTTTAATTTACAGCCTTCCTCCCTAAAACCCCCCAAACCCAACAACCCCCTAAACTATTTGTAACCTAAAGTAATACTAAAAGTTGTGGAGGAAAAGTGGTGGAAAATAGTGACTCAGGGTTCAGACTAGTCAGATGTTAAAAGTATCAGGGCAAATAAAGGAACACAGGTATTACAGATGGCCAGAGGAAACAAAAAGATGATTAGAACTTACCAGCTGCCACTGGACCAATTACTAAAAAAGTAAAATAAAACAAATTATTATTAAAAAAAAATGATGTACTTGGTTTCCATTGAAAACCCCACTAGGAACATCAGAAGAGGGACTTTTGGGAAACATCACATCTTATATCAATATTCTATTCTGTATTAATTCAATATTAACTCCACTTGAATATCCTAAATATCGAGATTATTATTATTTTTTGTTATTGTTCAAGTTGCTAAGTCGTATCTGACTCTGCAAACCCATGTCAAATTAATGTCCATTGAGTTGGTGATGCCATCCAACCATCTCATCTTCTTGTTGTCCCCTTCTCCTCCTGAACTCAGTCTTGCCCAGCATCAGGGTGTTTTCCAATAAGTAAACTTTTCACATCAGTGGCTGAAGTATTGGAGTTTTAACTTTAGTATCAGTCCTTCCAGTGAATATTCCAGATTGATTTCCTTTAGGATTTCCTTTAGGAAGGCCTGTTTAATGGGTTATATGAGTGAGATTCACTTTTCTAATAATTTTTGTTTTCAAGATTCTTAACTAGGCCAAGAGTCACAACCTTTTAGGAGAATGATCACCAACCAGTTCAAGATTACTATTTTAAGTTTCTCTTCTTTTTTGTGTCTTTCAATATTCTCTCTCCATTTTCAAACCTCTAACCACCATGTCAGCTCTCATCATATTCCTTTTGGAGTGGAGAACGTTTATTTATAATTGTCAATTTAAAACTTTTTGTCATAATTTTTCAATTTTTGTTTCTTTCTGATAACCTCTGGGTTTTAACCAGAAATTTTAAATATGGTTTAGTAAATAGCATGTGTGAAACATGTAACCATTTAAGATTAGAGTTCTTACTTGCACCTCTTTCAAGGGTATAGAACAGGGAAAATCCAGGGTCAGTTATAATGACAAATGAAAAGTCTCAGGAGCTTCAATTCCTAATCTTTTATAGGCCTAAGTCTTTCATATGTTTAGAGTGGGCAAATGGAGTTGAGTTAAACTCCTCTTACTTTTCTTTATGAAAATTTAAAGTATTTATTTAAATTTTGCTCCTTCTACTTTTTTTCTACTTCAGAATCTAATCTCATAATATGTCTGTTCTGTTCTTCACTTTCCATTATATAATTCTTCTAAGTCCATCAACTAATTTACTTATTCCTTGTCTTATCTTGAAAATATTTGAGCTAAAACTTTTGCTATTTTAGGACATTTTTTCTATTAAAAATAAGGCTATATTATGTCTGTTCTCTTTATTCTTTGCATGAATATATTTCTCCCTTAATATCAATAATTTTGGGAAATACAGAAAAATTTAAAAGCAAAGGAGATGGGGAAATATGTTACTTAGATTTTGCATTAATAAAAGTGATTACAGCCAATCAAAGCATGGGACTGGAACCCTGTGGGGGCCAAAGGACACTAGGATTGCTAACCAAGCAGCATGTTGGTGGGTTTGGAAAAGAACTCTACTCAACCTAACACAAAACTCAAGCTTCCAAAAATTCAATTACTCATCAGATTCTCTATAGTGGAAAAGGAAAAATTCCTGAGACCACTTTCTCTTCTAAGAAGGAAGCTGCAATGAAACATCATAAACCAACCTCTCTACTGTTTTTGTCCAATAATTGAGGGTTGAAGGACAAATGTGGAGGCATTAGTATACCCACAGTTCAGTTCAGTTCAGTTGCTCAGTTGTGTCCGACTCTCTGTGACCCCATGAATTGCAGCACAGCAAGCCTCCCTGTCCATCACCAGCTCCCAGAGTTTACTCAAACTCATACCCATCGAGTTGGTGATGCCATCCAGCCATCTCATCCTCTGTCGTCCCCTTCTCCTCCTGCCCCCAATCCTTCCCAGTATCAGAGTCTTTTCCAATGAGTTGCTTTAAGCCAACTTTTTCACAGTTTCATATAAATAGGAAAGCTGGGGGATGACATGCAGTAATTGCTATGGTAGAAGTTATTAATATCTAGATATTATTAATAGTTTACATTATTATCAAGTATTAAAATTTCAAAGTTATTATAGATAAGCATTATTTATGAATTATAAGCTAATAGTGAGTGTAAAGACTGTTATTACACTAAGTTAAAGATTTATTCTTTGCTCATAGGTCATTTAGAAAAGAGTTGAAATATAGTGATTAGAATGACTGGCCTTGTATGTGGAGGGGATATGAAAAGCTGCTGAAAAATAGGCAGCTGGTGAATTTATACCTAAAATCTCATCCAAGTCAAGGTCATACTTCCACCTAGTGTACTGAACAGAGTTTGTATTAATGCTATTACTTTTGAAAGTAGCAAAAATGGCCAAACATTTTATCATTTGATAAGAATAGCCAGTTTCCTCACAACACTTAGAGGGCACGTAACTAACGTCAAGCAAGAAGCAGCTCTGTGTGACTGCCAAATAAAGAACTAAACTCCTAGAGGTACTTTAAAATCCTGTGTCAAAAACGAAAAATAGATCTCTCTCGGGGTGTTACTTTGAAAGAGCAATGTAGTCTCTCTGACTAAAAGAGTTAGAGAGGCTATCATCCTCTAGTAACTGGAACATGAAATTTTAAAGTCTATTTTAGGAGACATAGGTAAGAGGGTAAAGTATGTATATATACATGTTTCTTAGGAAATTGAGAAAAAAGAATTTCACATTTGTTTGTAATTTTTGAAAAATTATTCCTTTTAAAAGTTCTCCACTGCAAAGTATGTTAAAGTAGACCTCGAGGATAGTAGGAGAAAGGTATTAGATGTTACCACATTCGAATGTAGCTCATAATTTTCCTGCCTCTCTCTTTTGTCAACGAGATTTGACTTCCTGCTCTCATGTCTTCATCATCAGATTTTCCTCACAGCTTGACTTGCATTGATGAAATGTTTAAACTGTCACCAGCACTTGTTTCTCCCTATATTTTTTCTGTCAATAGGGGTTTATGTTTTCCACTAATTTATAAATAAATTAGTTGTTCCAGTAATGTGGAATAATGAGAATAAGAACTTCAAATTTTCAAGGAAATGATTAAAGACAATACCAAATAAAGATAATATAAATTAAATTTTAAGAGACATTAAATAATTTACCCACAGCCACATGACTGGTAAATGTTTTAACTGAGATTTGATTGGTCTGTCTGATTCCTTTCTTAAACACTGAAATATATTACCTTTCCTTTTTTTTTAAACCAATTAGCATCATGCAAATTGTTTTGTCCCATATTTAGAATAATTTCTTGGAGCATGTATGTGGAAATGGAACTACGATTTAAAGGATACTCTATTTTTTATATCTTGCAACATACTATACTACCTCTGCACGTTTGCTTTCTAAAAGGGTTATGTTAATTTAAATAGGATCAGTGATGTATCAATGTATAATACTTACCAAAGCAATGCTGACATTGCTTATTCTATTTAAATTTATTTCTTCTTTGGATGAAAAATACTACCTCAGGGTTTTAATTTTCTATCCTTTATTTTTTTTAACCAGTCATTGGGCATACTATGGTTTTGAAATTCATCAGTAACTTAAGGGTACTGGATAATGGGGAGGCAAAGTGGGTTGAAAAATGTGAATATGAAGTCCTTTACTTGAGGGCTAATTTTCAAAAAGACATTGGAATTAAGGAATAGATGAATAATAACTTACCAATAGGCACTGGAGTAACTGGCAGAACAACATGAAACAAACATAAAATAGCAGAATTTTAGGATCAAGAATATAGTTACCTTCCTTGTTTTTCCAAGGCAACAGAGAGATGTTTGGAAGACACTAAACCTCCCCCAGAAAGATATCCAAAATGGAGAGGGAGGTGGGAGGGGGGACTGGGATGGGGAATACATGTAAATCCATGGCTAATTCATTTCAATGTATAACAAAAACTACTGTAATGATGTAAAGTAATTAGCCTCCAACTAATAAAAATTAAAATAAATAAATAAATTAAAAAAAAAGGAAAAAAAAAAAGAAAAAAAAAAAGAAAAAGAAAAAAAAAAAGAGGAATTAGCATTTCTTTGTGGTGAAGTAGTAGTCCTAGTCTGATGCGACTGTTTTCAGTGTATTTCAATGTAGTAGAAAGGCAGACTGGGCTAATAACATAAATGCTTATGTCATTCTTTTTCTTTCTCCTCTAGTATACAGGGTTTAAATCATGTGGAGAACTTTCAAAAAATTTGAATGCTAATTGCAATTATTCTCTTTCCTCTTCCCACACCAAACATATCATACTAAGTTTCCCTCTATTTTTTATTGGTATCTCCATATTTATTATATCCCCCCATATATCTTTCCTTTTTGTTGTGTGGAAGGTTCTTGTTATTAAAAGCTCTTTGAATAGTTTTAGAAAACAAAATTTTTTTTATACTTAGTCTCAATCAAATATTCATTCTTTTTATTGAAAAATTAATAACATAGTAGGTTGCCAAGTAAAAGAGAGAAAGACTGTTTATAAATAGAGTAAATGCAATTGGTCATATTTGGGAAAAAATCTCAGTTTATGATCCCAATCTGTACCAAATTTATGAAATGAAAAAGGACTTACTGATAGGTACTGCTACATGTGCTAAAATCCAAACACAAATGATTAGTATGGGTTGACATTGATAACAGAATTGACACTGATAATAGAATTCTTACTGTTTCCAGACAAGAATTTCTGGGATGAAAAAGGAAGAGTAAGTTCCACATCTTTTACATGAGTTACTTAAATCTTTCTTGTACAGTAACACAAACATTTTAAAAGGGTAAGAAAGGGGGAGGTTATTTTACTTTTATCACTTAATTTCTCATGGAAATTAAAATACCACAGAGCTTGGAAAAGCCTCATATCCTTTGTTAAAACTCTTTCATGTGAGTTTTCCCACTTTCTCTGTCATTCCTGTCTTACATTTGTTGAAAACATATTCTTTTCTTGAAAAGTCAGTACAGCTAATTCCAAGATTTTCTTGGCATTCTTAATTATTTCTGCTTATCAGCTTCATCTTCTAGATATTATTTAATATTTCAAGTGGGAAGAAGTTGGTCTGTGTGTTTGCAAAAATTAATGAACATAAGCAGTTCCAGCTGTCAGAAATGAAGATTGACTTCACTTTCCCTGTGTTTCTCCTTGGGCAATAATATATAGTCTCTATCGTGTCCTTATCATAAGTCTCTTAAAATATATGAAGTCTAGTTTGTTTTTAGTAGGACATTTTAACTTACTATGAAAAAAATCAATCATGTTAATTTTTCCCACTTATCATTGTAATCTGTGCTTTGTATAGAATCATAAATATTCTAGTAGGATTCTGAGGAGAGAGTGTGAAAAATATAAATGTCAATTTTTTCCTTGAAATGGAAACAATCATTTTTAGGAAAAAGCCCACAGTGAGTGCATAACAAATACCAAACAGAAAGGAAATTTCTTATAATTGCAGTTTTCATTAATGTAGATACAGAGAACATGGCTCTCATTGATCTAACTGATATTGTTTGGTAAATAAAGATGGAAATATACTCTATAATACTACTGAAACATATTTGTCAGATATAACAGTTCCATTTCTAGAAGTGAGAGAAATAAGCTACATTTTCTTCTTATTTTCCCCAACTTCTCTGGATGAGAAACATGTCTAGAATGATCTAATTTACATATGAACTCTAGGACAGGAGTGTCTTTTTCTATTTTTGGTTCCTGCTATATTCCCAATGCCTGGCACATGATAAGACCTCAATAATTATATTTTTTTGAATGAGTAAGATCTCAATGACTTTAACTTTGCCGATTCAACTTTATTTCTGTCTTATGCTTTTTAAGTTTTCTACCAAAGAGAATTTATAAACTCTAATAAAAATACTAACAGTTAACACTTTTTTCCGTAGGTAACAATTTACAAAAAAATAGAAAATGTTTCAAAAACATTATTTCCAACTCCAGGTCACCTTTAACCTGTTTGTTATTTGCATTTGTGAATTTTTCACTTTCAAAATATTCATCAGTGACTAGAGGAAGTTAATCAATATTAATAGAGAAATTGAAAAACTTGAATGTCAAGGTCTTACTTGTTCAGAAAAGATATAATCAATACAGGAATCAACCCCAGAATTGATGGATAGATATAAAACTTACTTGGTGGTTCTTGCCTTACTGTGAAAGAGAAATAAAATAATTAAATGAATGAGATGCCAAGAATGAGTTACTTCTCAAACTCTTTATGCTGGAAGTTTTAAAAAACAGAACTTTGAGAGATCACCAAGCTCTCTATTTAGAATTAGTTAAATCAGTGGGAGAATAAATGTCTTCAGATTATTCTGCTCAAGTACCTTTTGAGTGGTTTTTTGGAAAGAAAGGATCAGAGAGGAATCATTGGAAGATGCTATTTCTTCCTTTTGATTTTTCTCTGCTAATTCAAACTTTATGGTAAGATTTTTATGTCACACTTTATTGCCTCCTTACTATCATTCCTTGTTTTCTCATCACTTCTTTGGAATGATCGTATTGATTTATCATGATCATTACTGTAATTCTTATTTGCTGATTACTGTTTTGTAGATTAATTTTAGAGAAGTTCTCTTTTTCTCAGTCACATAGTATCTTAGGGCTGGTGACTCCCCATTTGAATGGGATGAAAGCAGTACTTGCTTTTAGATTCAGGTAAATAAACCTGAATTTGAATCTCAACCTCTTCTGCTCATAATTGTGGGGTCATGAGCAAGTTACCTATTCTTACTACTTCCTTCTTATAGGAATAACAATATTTATCTGATATAATGTATATGCATATATAAAGCTAAGTACAGTGCCTGGTACCTTGCAAGTATGTAACAACTAGTATTTGTTATTATAGTACCCCATAGTGTACCAATTAGTTTCAATTATAGCCTCCAAATAAAAGTTTATAGTTCAAAATGAAGCAAGCTACTTAAAATATGAATAGGGAAACAAGAAGCTAGAAGGAGAGAAATACTAGAAAAAAATAAACCATAGAGTCAGAAATATAAATCTTAAGCCTTGGTGAACATTCACACTAGAAACAAGGCACAAAAGGGCCTCTAGATACCATGAAACATCAGTGATAATAACAGAGTTGAGAGAAACATGGGACCTACCTTTAGATTTTTCAGGTCTTGCTTTAATAAAAAAAGCAAATGATCAAATTAGTGTGATTGTCTAATGAAACAGAAACACATTTTCACTGATATTATGATGAGCATCACAGACTGAACAGTAGTGGAAAGAAAAAAAAGAGTTTCTGCAAGGACCACTTTCCCTTGGAAATGTTATGGAAGAAATGGTCCATAGCTAGTGATGGAGCTCACTCTTTCTTTTCCCATCTAGGGCTCTGATTTTATTTAATTATCTATTGCTTCAATTTCAGTAACTTTTTAAAAAAAATTTTTTTTCAATTTCAGTAACTTTTTTCGTTTCAAAGATTTCAACTTTGTTCTTTTTTTACATCTGCTTATTCTTTTTCCAAACTGCATTAAAAATATATATAACTTCTTCTTTTATCTTTTTTAAAAACATGGATAGTCTATCTTTTATTCCCCACGAGGGAAGTCACAACTTATCAGAGCTCCCATCTTTGCTGCTTGTATGATGTTATCTTAGCTCTACCATATGCTATATGCCATATCAACTGCTTTACCGTTCTAACTTTTCTCTCTCTCCTTAACCTCTTCAATTAGACTTTTGTTTCCCCTCTATCCTATTAAAATTGCTAATAACCCTCATTTTATAAAATTCAATGACTAATTCTTAGTCCAAATTTTTGTTTCTTAAAAGTTTTAGGTGCAGTTGTTTATATACCCTTTTCATCTTGAAATACACTCTTGAGTTCTATAACCCACTCTCCTGGTTTTCCTTCTTCCTCCACGCACACTCCTTCTTTCTATACTTTGCTAGATTTTTTTCGTCTTCTCAACCTCTAAATCTGACTTTCCTGAGCACAATTGTTAGCATTCTTATCTTTATAGGCACCTTTGGTGATCAAATTTAGTCCAGTGGTTTTAAATGCTATCTTTACACTAAATTTGTCAAGTTTATTCTCCACCTGCTCTTTCCCTAAAGCAAGGGGAAGAGGATGTGAAAAGGGACTGTCTCTATTACCCCCACATTGACTACTGAGATAAAAATCTAAGGAAAAAGAGGCTGTAACCTCTCATATTTCCCTCCTCATACAACTTAGGTGAGACAAACCCATAGGAAGGATTGCACGACTCAGAAGCATAGTGGGAAGGGATTCCTAGAGCTGTGCAGTGCAGAGATGCTGCTCTAAGGCTTTAACAAATAATGGCCAAATTAGTTCTTCTGTCCCACATATCGTCCTTCTTCCAAGCCTCCATAAGCACACAAGTTTAAGAGAAAGGAGATTTAAAGCAATCTTCAGTGTTGTGGGTAGTTGACTAAGGAACGATGTGGGATAGGAAGGTATAGTGATTTCCTCCCTGAAAGCAAATGAGGAGGACTTCAAGAGATTTGCTTACAAACACTGGGGTGGGGATTGTCTGTGAAAAAAGGTGTGTGGCAAACCATTCCCTAGTTGAATGTCTGCTTGGTGGATTTGCTGATTTGTTCTGTGCATTTTGAGCATGGGGAAAAGAAAATTGAAGAGAGGGAGCAGAGTACAGTGAGGAGGATGTCTTGGAGCAGCAGGCATCTTCTTCCTTTTTCTAGTGACAAGAATACTTGAGCTTCTTGAAGGTCAGGTGGGCATTGTGGAAGATATCCAGGCTTGAGCTTTGGTACTGGTACATCACTCAAGTTGGTGGCCTATTTGATGAGGGTACCTCATCAATGACAGGCTATGAGATATACTAACAGGGGAACAGAACTAAGGGGTTTTGAAATAGTCCAGACTGGAGTCAGTACTTCCACATCAAGGATAGTGCAGTGGAGCCCTTAGAAATAGACAAGTTCTTGTAGATTCCTTCCAAGAACTAAAACATGTATTCTACAAGTTGCTGTTTTTGTTCAGTCGCTAAGTCGTTCCAACTCTTTGTGACCCCATGGACTACAGTATGGCAACTCTTTGCATCGGATGACCACAATTTTACCATTTGTGGGAAAACTGGGTAGAGTTAAGTAGCAGCTGTGCTCTTTAGGCGGCATATGGCCTTCTAATTCTCCATAATTCCTAGGGGATGCACTTTACCTCATTCAGTTATATTACCTTTCTGGGCTCTGTTGGCATCTAAATTTTTAACCTGGACAGGCACTTTGGGTTTTAATATTAATGTGATTTTATTTCAATCTGAGAAACCCTAGGGGATATTGGGCTTGCATAAAAATCACTTATAGGTATGATAACCAAATTCAAATTATGGAACACTAGAACAGTGAAAAATATGGCTTCATGAATTCTATATTAAATATCACCATGGTTTGGTTAGTTGCTAAGTCGTGTCTGGCTCTTGCAACCCCATGAACTGTAACCTGCCAGGCGCCTTTGACCATGGAATTTTCCAGGCAAGAATACTGGAGTGGGTTGCCATTTCCTTCTCCAAAATATCACCATGGTCAGTGCTTTATCTGGTTTAAATATTAAGTCACTGTTGATATTTGTAATCTGAGAAGATAAGAGCTGAAATAATAGGAATTCCTATAGTTATGTATCAAAAAGGTCATTTTGCATTCCTAATCTTAAGGCCTTTGGGTGATATGGAAGCAACTGAATATGAGAAACATGAGTCTCAACCTTTTGGCTAGTTAAAATAGAAACATCTAAGCTGAGAAAAAGTCTCACATTAGACAGATTGATAAGTAAAAAACTTACTTGAGGTTCTCTGTGAAATCACTAAAAAATAAACAAAAAGAAATCCATGTAATTTTTCTTAAATACAAAAACATAATATTATCTAATATATTCTGTCTGTGTCTGTGAGGGGAGGACTTGGGTGGGAATAAGAAGAAAGCATTGCCAATGGCCTTAGAAAGCAGTTGCAATGCAAACTTAGATATGAGATTAAGCAGTGATGATTTAATGATGAAGTCAAGGCAGGGTTTTACCAAAAGTCTTCTTCATATACTGGATCTGAACAAGTTTGGGTATAGTGTCAGGCAAACATAACTGGATATTTCTGTTTTGGATAGCAATGTATTCTTTGAGGGAACACACAAAAGTCTGTCTCCATTTAAACATCATCTTGGACTTCCTTCTCTCTCAAAATAATCTGCCTACCTCTGTTATTTCATAATATTCAGTTTTTTTTTTTTTGTTGTTGTTGACAAATGCTACCTTACTCCTTCTTTTTGTTCTGGCTGCACACATGGCATGCAGGATAGTTCCGTGACCAGGAATTGAAATTCTGCTCCCTGCATTGGGAGCACAGAGTCTTAACCACTAGATTGCCGGGGAAGTCCCTAATCAGTATTTTCTTAAATTATGTATAATGTAGGGGAAAGTGTTAGTCACTCAGTTGGTCATGTCTGACTCTTTGTAACCCCATGGACAGTAGCCCAACAGGCTCCTCTCTCCATGGGATTCTCCAGGCTAGAATACTGGAGTGAGTTGCCATTTCCTTCTCCACGGGATCTTCCTGACCCAGGGATCAGGTTTCTCACATTGAAGGCAGACTCTTTATTGACTGAGCCACCAGGGAAGCCCTTAATAGTAATGCCCATAAAATAATGTAGGGGAAGCTGACTAATAAGAAAATAAGAGAGCAATGAGAAAATCAAATCACTATAACAGAAAAAAGTCCCTCAGACTTTGAAGACCAAACAGAACCAAAGTAGAAAAAGAGATGTTACACTTACTTATGGGTGCCAGGGGCAGACCTAAAAAACAAGTTAGATATCAGTGGATATTTGCTTGAAAAAAACAACTTTCTTTTTAAGGAATTATATTTGAGTAGGGGAGAAGCTTATTTGTCCCATAGCTCTTTGTTTAAATTGTGGTTCTATGACTATGTATTCTTGGGCCAGATTGCGGCCTCAGTTTCTTAGTCTTTACAGAGAGGTCAGTGGAGTTACTCTAAGAATTAAATAGTGTAAAGTATTAATAATTAAAGCACTTATATAGTTCTGATCACATAGGAGATGCAAGGTAAATACATGTTTGCAATTAAGTAAATATAAGTTGACTTCTCAGAGAAAGAAGTTGGATGAGCAGAAGGCAGAGGGAATTGAGAGCTATGAGTCTCAGGTTTCTACACAGAGTTAGAAATGAGGAGGACAGGGTCTGGTCCCTAGGCCTTGTAGAGAACAAGGAAATAGTGGAAAAACGGATGAAACTTACCCCTGAGCATCGAAGGTGGACAAGCTGAAAGACAGAAAAATATCATCACAACTCTTTTCTCTCCCACTGTATTTCTGTTTGCTTTTTTAAAGAGAGTTCCTTCTTGATAGGTCATTATAATAGTAGGAAAAAATGTTACCTTTGGTCTTTATTTGCTTTTAACATAAGTCAGCAGGATTTGGACTTTTCTAAAAATCATTTATAACAATGGAATTTTGACCATGAGAGGGTAAGCGGTTAGTTAAAGCAGCATGTACCCTATGCCCAGAAATTCCAGCATAACTGGGGAAAGGAGAAATAGGACCCCTCAGTGGAAGAAACATCGAGTGACTTACTGAGGGCTTGTGGAGCTGGTCCATCTAGAAAACACAACCGAGAACATTTTTATCGTTCCCCCTACTTTTTCCCCATTCAATATGTTTTTCATTTTGTGAAGTCCCTTGTAGCATATCATTTTCAACTGCTGGGAAGCTTTCCTCTCTGCTCTTTATTTTTTACATGAATCAGTGGAGTTTTTTTTTTCCCCCACAGAGTTATTGAAAAGCTGATAGACTTATTGAAAATCTGAATGTGAGACATGAAGGAAACAGCTACTTCTAATCTTTGAAATGCCTATATGGTCAGGGAAGTTTCCTCAAGTATCTTGGAATTCAAATTTGGAAAAACAGACTAAGTAGGGCAGGAGGTCCAAATGAAAACTGTCTTAGAAACTTCTTATCCCCTCCTTTCTCTCCCATCATGTTTTCATTGTCTGTAGGTAGTCTTTTGTTTATTCTTTATAACTAAGCAAAACTTTTTTCTCCCCTCTTCATTTTTACGTAAATTAGTAGTGTCAGACCTTTCCTGGTCAAAATAACCCAGAGGCATTTTGATAGCCAGGTTGCAAGAGAACAAGATGTACCTCAAGCCCTTTGTATTTCAGTATGGCCAGGTAAAGACTTTTGGACCCCATTAAAAATCAGTTAAACTCTGGGGCAAACAATCAAACAGACTTACTGACTGCATGAGGAGTTGATCCCGCTGAAAACAAGCAGAGATATTTTTTTATTACTCATTTCTTGTCTACTCTCTGTTCATTTTTTCTGTCAGAGACAGAAAAAATTTTTCTGATCATACATTTGAACTTTCCAGAAAAATTATAATCAGTTGATGGAATACTGGTTAATGGAGAAGCAAAAGGGAAAATAAAATAAGAGTTTCAAATTCCTATACCAGAACTCAAGTTCCAATAGACATTTCTGGACCTTGATAAGTGCACAGCAGAAAAATAAACAATTTACTAATTGCTGATATAAATGACCTAGCAGGAAAATAGAAATATTATCTGTATCTTTTTCTCTCACTCATTTTTCTCTTCTGCATGGAAAGTCTAACAATCTTTAGAACCATGGATAAATTTTTTTTCTGTTCTTTATTTTTATATGACTCAGTGAACATTCTGGAAACTTGTTAATAACTTAGTGGAATTCTGAATAATGGAAGAATAAAAGGTCAAGGAAGTGGGAGCTTTAAGTTATTGCAATCCCAATAGGGATGGATAAATTTTGGTTCAGGTAGATCTGTTAGATACTGCTGGAGACAACTGAGTTCCTTCGGAAAGGGCGATATTCAAACTTACAGGATGATCTTGAAGCTGAAAAGCAAAGAGAGAAATCAATGTGTAAAGGCTGATGAAATAAGAACTAGTTTTCCTCTTACTATTCTGAGAGAGAGTATCAGAAATATCTGTGGAGATAGAATCAAATCCTTGTAGGTGATGTAGCACACTGTGGTGGGGAATACAATTGCCATCATACCTTGTAGGTTGAATTGTAGGATTCTGCCTTCTGCTCAGTCTGGGAGGCTACGGGAAAGGGAGATGACTTATCTCTTCCCTTTTTGCAGTGGCTGGTCAACTACTTAAAATCTTACAGTGGTGTCGGTAATTTAAACTGTATTGCCTTTATTATTTTTCCTCCCTTTTTCTGCAGCCTTCTCAAGGTCTCCTTCACTCATGTAAATATACTCCCTCTCTTACTGACAAGTCACAGTAAACTTCAGATAGTTTCCTCTGTTTTAAAATATAATATATATATATATATATATACACCTTATATATGTATATATTTGTATATAATGTATGTGTGTATGTATGTGTGTATGTGTTAGAAATGCAAAAAACCAAAATGGCTGTCTGAGGAGGCCTTACAAATAGCTGTGAAGAGAAGTGAAAAGCAAAGGAGAAAAGGAAAGATATTCCCATTTGAATTCAAAGTTCCAAAGAATAGCAAGGAGAGATAAGAAAGCCTTCCTCAGTGATCAATGCAAAGAAATAGAGGAAAACAACAGAATGGGAAAGACTAG